TCTCCGCAGCCTCCTGCGACATGACTTCCTCGCAGAAGGAGGCCACGGCGTTCCAGGACCTCTCACCCGTCACCATGGCGCTCACCACGGCCGACGGGGAGAGGTCCCACCCGATCACTTGTTGGAGGATACGGCGCTCCCTGGAGAATGACGGGCATTCCTCTAGGATGTACTGCGCCGTGTCCTCCCCTCTATTGCAGTGATGGCACTGCGTCGTCGCCTCCCGACTAATTCGACACAGGTACTCACCGAAGCACCCGTGCCCGATGAGCACCTGCGTCATACGGTAAGTGAGCCTACCCTGCGTCCTGCCTATCCACTTGTCGAAGACAGGCAGGACCGCTCCCACAGGTCTGAAGACTCTGGTGTTTCTAATAGAAAAAAGAATAAGATAGAAAAATTAATAAAAGAATGCGTAAAATTGGTCATAATTCACGGTAGACCATTTTTTTTTTTGTTTTTTTTGGACGATAACGCCTTCTGCAATAGTATTGGTATGATTCTACTGGAATCAAGATGAGGGCACACGACAAGGTATTAATTCGCACGCTATTCGAATATCTGTTTCAATGAAGGCAAAACAAATTCGCGCAAATATAAACGGAGAGATTCATGGAAAACTTGTCTGTAAAATAGATGCTGCAACATGTATAAACCGTTCATTTTTGGGAATCAATGTACAATTCTGTGACGAAGACTTTAATATTGTTTTGCGAACGTTAGCAGTAAAAGAGTTATTCGACAGTCATGATGGTGTAACATTAAAACATGTAATGAGTGACAATAACAACATTTTTTCAGTGACTACAGACAACGATTCCAATATGATAAAACATGTTCGTTTGTTGGAAATTGAACAGGACGTTAATAATAATGAAATGGATGATGAGACTGCTAACATATTACACATAACATGGAATGAAAACAAATAAAACAGAAACAGCAGAGGTAACTCAGCACGCAGACTATAGATATGTAGGGGAGAGTCATGCAGTACCGGCCAAAGCTAGATCTCGCTTATACTGTTAGTTGACTGCACTATTGATGGAAAAATAAATGAATACTATAGCGGCGACATTCTTTTTTCTTCAGTATTACCAGAGTTCTAAGACGTTTAACGTTTACGCTGGTGTTCTGTACGACAAAAGTTATTTTTCATGGCTGCAATGGTTGGGCTCACGTGGAGTGTGCGGATCAAGAAAATATCGATCACTTTATCTGTGATATTTATAGACGTGCCTAAATAAAAGTTCTATTCTATTTTTAAATGATTTTTACTAACATTATTTATTACTTAGACCTTAAAATCTACCAACTAAGTAGCTGGCCGGTACTGTACGATAATTTTTCGTCCGCTGCAAATTACAACTTCTTTATTTCTACGAATTATTTATCTTTATGAGAAAATTTAAGAAAAACCATTTGTCTCCTTTTATTAAGCACCCTTTTTTTTTACGCGGAGGAAATCTTCGGAAAAAGACACCCCACCCCCCGTGGGGGAGGGAGGCGAGGTAGGGGGGGGGCACGGGAACTTGGTACTTCTTCCGCAGTCCCCCCCGCACCGACGGCTTACGCCCCGTCCTCGGGGGAGGAGGCGTAGCGTCACCTCCCCCCCAAACTCCGCCCGTAGGCACGGCAGCGCCAGGGGACCACGCCCGGCGCCGCCCCTTTCCCTGGGGGACCGTAGTGGTAGGAGCCAGGCCCCCGCCTGACCCCTCACAGTCTCGTACCCTTTGTACTACAAATTACTTTTTCGAAATTTCATTTTTACCAACATTAACCCAAGTTGTAGTACAAAAACTTAGAGTGGCCGGTACTGCACGACTCTCCCCTATATTGTTAGATGTATGAGATATGCCGCTCACACTCTATAATTAGCCGTTAAAGATGCTTTAAAAGAAACATTAATTACAAATATTATTCACAAAGCACGGCAAGTATGTAGAAAATTGCGTAGGCCAACAGTAAGAGGATTGTTGAAAGCAATGCAACAACGAAAACCAATATTAGATTGTGTTACGCGGTGGCATTCTACACTCCTATGCCTCAACATTTAATGGAATTAAGAAACTTTTGCGTTAAATCTGATGAAGAATTATATTTGACAGAAGAAATTTGTAGTTCGATAGAATTTATATTAAATACTTTAATGCCAGCCCGCATTGCTACAAAGAAATTGCAAGAAGAACAATTATGTGTAGGTGATTTTTACCGTCTGTGGACAAATTACAGATTACAAACTGGTAGAATCAAAACTGAATTATCAGCAAATCTTGGTAACGCAACAATGAAAAGACAAAACATGCTTTTCGATAATTATATTTTCCAACCAAGGGTATTTCTTAATCCTCGATGTAATATAAGGCCATATTCATTTTCTGAAATAGTGGAAAGGCCACATCGATCTTTCGAACCACTACTTACCAAGTAAAACATACTAATTTACAATATCTTCATAATAATACATCCATCTACATTTTATATCAATACAAAATTTAAAAAATATAATTATAAAGATAATAAATAACTTTCCAAATTGTTATTGAAATGAAAATTTATTGTAGTTATTTTACATTCACTCTGTGTATTATTTATGAATAAATAGAAAAAGAACTGTATTATTTTTTTAAATAATTTAATATGAGTTAACTAATGAGATTTTTGGTTTTGTTTTTTGTTAGATAATAACTTTAGGCACCAGTTTAGTTGTACGCAGCTTGAGTTGGTCTTCTAAAGGAATATCAGATATCTGAGTCCTTAAATGAGTTTTAATTTGTGTAAGGTATGAAAAAGTTGATTCGCAACAGTAAGTAGCTGCAAAGCAAGACAGCAGACGACGAGCGTGTTTACGTAAACATGGGTATTCAACTGCATTTTTTCATATTTCAATGGGATCTTTTTTTGTATCAAAAAAATTCTTTATGATATTTTCTCCCAATTCAATTAGTTCCATTTGCAGTTCCATTGGTGCCCTAGAGATATCAACTAAATGTGACTCATACGCCAATTTCATTGCCAAAGTATGTTCTTCGAAATCAGAAAATCTATCATGGTATTCTTCAATTAGCATGTCCAATACAGCTATATAGTTATTGAAAGTTTTATATAGGTACAACATATTTCTGCTCATTTAACATACTTTTTAAATGAGGGAAATGTTCTCCAGATATTTCTGATTTAGAGAAAAGCGTTTTGAAAAAAATTAATTTTTTCGAAATACAGTAAAGATTCTATAAGAGTTCTTTGAGATCTGCGCGATGAATGTTTATGATCTATCTCCACTACAAGGGCGGACCACCCTTGAACCAGGCAAGCGACTAATGTGACACGGTCACGGTATCTCCTTATCGCATTCGGTGGCGGCATGTCCGTAAGACAAAGCTAACAAAACTACAAAAGTTTGTTATTTTCAATTTTTCGTTAATAAAAATTTCATCAAAATATTGGGAGATTTTCCTGATTAAAATGATGCCAAACACGATATTGTTACAAAACTTGGTTGTGTCGATTGGGCTTGTGAATCTTCCTTTGCTTGTACGTTTTTCAACGTTCATTTCACTGTTTACAGAATGTAACACCATTTCTGTAAGGATCTCATAGCTGTGCCAAAAAGGAACCGTTATACAGTACTAGAACTGAACCTATCCGGTTATTCTTGAATGGGCCACTCTTCTTCAGATTAACGGTTCGTAAACGGCATTGCCTTTGATCCGTTATGGAATAGGAAGGAACGAATTTTTACCTCTAACGAGTTTAAAGGACACAT